AGCGTCATCTTGATTAAGGTTGCAGTAAGCCTGCATGCCTTGAAACTCAATTTGTAGCATCTTTTAGGGAGAATTTGTCAAAACAGCCACAGTCTGAGATATAGCTGAGAATGTGATGTGCCTGGCATCTTTATGGCTGCCTTTTCTCATCTATGTACTGCTTTTCATTGAAAGCTAACATAAATCTACAAAATCCCAAAGGTTCTCAGGGGTTGGGATTGTGTTGAGCCAGCAAAGAACTCACTCTACTGTAATGACCTCCAAAATGGGTTGAGCCACTTTGTGGGAGAAGAGATCTATATTCCCCCTTTGATTTCACTGCATTGTATTTATTGTTGTTTGTAACACAGCAATGTCAATACTGTTAATCATATTATAATCAAGTATTTCATACATAGTATTATTAGAAATAGGACCAGTCAGTGTTTATGGTCAGTTGGAACATCTGAATGGTTGTAAGTGGAATTCAAGAAATAGTTTCAATCAATGCCACTTTCATGTCTTTAAGGTAAATATAAAGTTACTGCCAGGAGATGATTAACTTAGCTTAGCATAAAGATTTAAAACAGGGGCAAAACAGCTAGCCTGGCACTGTCCAAAAGTAAATATATCTGCCTACTAGCACCTTAGCAAGCTAATTTAGACATTCGTACAAAAATCATAAAAAAATGTAGAAATGAAAAATAGTTTTCTGATTAATACATAAAATAATTCATACAATACATAAAGATGCTTCAGAATCTTACATATGGCACCTTTAATATTGGATTTGATTAAGATGTAACTGCCAGCAATATCAATCTCCTCATCTAACTAATCCAAGAAAGCAAATAACCGTATTTCCAAGAATATTTTTTTGCCTCTGGAGAATTTTTTTTTCCAGATAAAATTATGAGTTTAAAACAAAGTCATCTGTCATCTATTTTTACGAGTCTTTGTTTGCTTGGAGATGTGAAAAATAATCCTTTTGTTTTTGTGACCATTGACTTTCAGGGTGGATTGTCACAATGTCATGATTCACCCAGCTATGAATACTAAATTGTTCGCCCGTCCTCTGTGGTTTTTCTTCTGCAGTGCGGGCTATGATGCTGTCCTGGACAGAAATGTAGCCATCAAGAAGCTGAGCAGACCCTTCCAGAACCAGACCCATGCCAAGAGGGCATATCGGGAGTTGGTCCTCATGAAATGTGTCAATCACAAAAATGTAAGTAACTCAGTAAGCTGAGGTGCAACAAAAGTAGAAAGGAATGCAGGAAGAAGGAAAACGCATCTATTGTCAGAATGAAGCAGTTTTACCCCAGTTAGTGTCTATTTTTGGTGCTCGATAAATCCCTTTGCTACAAAACAGAGACGAGCGACTGCAATGTTGTGACCGTGCTAAATTCCATGCCTCCAGAAATGTACCGAACTGGCAGGAGAGTGAAACAGAGAGCACTTCAAGGCATGAATGTAATCTCCAACGTCGCAATTTGTTCTCGTTTCTTCTTCTCCGTCTCTTTTTCCTCTCATCCACATTTATCCCCGATCTTTTGTTCCACCCTCGCTTCCTCGGTTTACTCTGTCTCTCGCCCAGCAGTGTCCTTCATCAGGGTCATTACCAACTTGCATCCCCGTCCCTTGCTGTAACTCAAATTTTGTGTGTATAATTAAAGTGCTATATGTTGATCCTCTCCACCCTCTTCTCTATTTCAGATTATCAGTTTATTAAATGTCTTCACACCACAGAAATCATTAGAGGAATTCCAGGATGTGTGAGTATAGGAAACCCTTCTTTGCATAATTACATTTCCGTGAAAAATATTAATTTAGCAGGCAAAGAAAGGTTACTTGTTCTCATTTATTTGGTTTATTGTATGACAGAGAAAAGAAGGGGACTGATTTTATTATGTATTATGTGCTTATTTACTCCTTCGCACCTGCAGTTGTAAGAGCACAACCACTGGAGTGTAGTCAGTGAAAGCACTGTAGGTGTAATCTGAGGCTGCTGAATGTATCCTGTTTTCATACTGAATGATGAATGAGAGTGTGTTCACATTTCGAACAATCTTAAGGTAAACAGTACTGCGGATAGATTCATGTGTCTTTGTGGCAGAAACGGTAGAAGGTAGAGATGAGCGAGACCTTTATCTGTATCTGTATCTGCTCAACCAACTGCATTATCTGTATTTGTAGCCGGAATGGGCAAGGCCTAAACCACATATGGGTGGTGCTTAAACCAGAAGTAGGCGGGACTAAAAGTTCCTGAAATTGATATGGGTTGTAAGAAGTTGCTATATTTATTAGAGTAGTATTTACAGAACAGCCAAATCAAATTTCAGTAGGCAAATCAAATGCCAAAATAACTGATCAGTCACTTATAAATCAATAAAACCTTTTCTCAGGTACCTAGTGATGGAGCTGATGGATGCCAACTTGTGCCAGGTGATTCAGATGGAGCTTGACCACGAGAGAATGTCCTACCTGCTCTACCAGATGCTGTGTGGTATCAAACATCTGCACTCAGCCGGCATTATTCACAGGGTAGGAAAGCAAGACGCCTCGGTTTTCTTGTTCAACTACTGAATGTTTTGGGTTGTGTGTTTTTTATATCTTTTGGGATGGCAATTTATAGTCTAACATCAGCAGACTTGCCGTAAACCTTGACGTCACCTTGGTCACCCATTTGGCAAGAAGGGCACCCAGGTGGCCCAGAGGAAGCGCTGCAGTGACCAGGGTTCAATCCCTGGTGCTTCCATCTGGCTTGGCTGACTGTCCCAGCTGTCCCACAGTTGGCAGTGTTCACAGGGTGGGAAGCCTGTGAGGAATCATGTCCTTGTCAGTGCACCAGCAGATTTGACTGGCCAGAGCACCTACACAAAGGGAAATAGGATCTAGGTGGATAGAGCATGTATTTACGTCCTCCCAGTGAGGCTCCTTCCTGGCAGGTCAATTGGAGGAGGCAAATTGCCTTTTACAACCACCCCTGGTCAATAGTGGGAGTTAGCAGGGACTTTGCCACAGTGCATGAAGAAACGGTAATTCCAGATTGGGAGATCATTACTTTAAATAAATAAAGCTGAGTACTACCAGATTTTTGACCACAGTTTAACTAATTACAGTTTCAGGCAGTTCTGGAGAAAATTATCACAGTATTGACATTTAAAGCTAACATTTGACATTTTGGGAAATTTACTTTCTGTCGGAGAGTTAGTAAGAAGACTGATACCACTTTCATGTCTGTACAGTAAATATGTAGCTCCAACCAGCCGTCCTTTAACTTAGCTTAGCATAATTTCTGCAAAAAAGGGGATAAAGCTGGCAGAAATAAGCTTTTGTCTAAGCTCAAAATGCAGAATTGTTGTTTTTACACTTTATTTCTTGTATGGATTGTACAAGGAAGATATAAGGTGCTAATTATTGAGCTGTAGAGATGCTGGTAGGTGTATTTTGTTAGCTTTGGACAGAGCCAGGCTGACTGTTTTCCCTGTTTCCAATCTTTGTGCTAAGCTAAAGCTAACAATACAGTTTTTAACAGACACATGAAAGTTGTATTGATATTCTCATCTCTCAACTCTCCACAAGAAAGCAAATAGGCATATCTTCTAAAGACACTGTCTATTTAAACATGTCAACACCTGTAAATTACCTAAATATACACAGTTTCTAAGGCAAGTCTTTTCCCATCTGCAGGACCTCAAACCAAGCAATATAGTGGTAAAGTCAGACTGCACCCTGAAGATCCTGGACTTTGGTCTGGCCAGGACCGCAGGCACCAGCTTCATGATGACCCCTTATGTGGTGACTAGATACTACAGAGCCCCAGAGGTTATCCTGGGCATGGGATACAAAGAGAACGGTGAGAATTAAGGATTATTCAGTGCATATGCATGTATCAAATTCAGACAGATTTAAAGGATAACACTGCAGTCACACTATATTTTTTATATATTATCTCTTTAATACACAGAAAAAATCCAATATAAGACCCACTGAAGTTTTAGCTACGTTTTTAGTCATTTATTGAAGCTATTTTCTCAAAACTGTACTCTTATTTTCTTGTGGGGGGGCAATGAAGAAGGGATACTAAAGTTAATACAGACGAGGAGCTACTTGTAGGAAGAGTAATGAACCTTTTTTACGCAACTGTGTTACAAAGTCATTTTAAAAAGTGAATTACATTAAACCGACCAGCAGTATGTCTGTGTGAGCTTTATGTAATGTATTTTTAAACCAATGGGACCGATGACTTAGATGATCTTTTCGTGGGCATTGATGAAAAAATATAAGATTATATAAGACACAGGTGTTATCCATTCATGATCCCAAATGAAAGCATCATGGTATTATCTGTGAAACCTTAAAAACAATTCTCGCAATTGAGTCGCACTTTGCAAATGAGCAACAGTGAACTGTTGGAGGTACTGAGTCACTGATTAAAAGCCCCCAGAACATCAGACAAGTGATTGAATACCATGCTAAGAGTTATGACTCATTAGCCATATTCCTCCCATGGATGGAAGCCTGTAGGCTATTTCCTGCAGCTAGTTAGTCCTTCTAAGGCTCTGCTTTTCTCTTTTTTTGCTCTTCTTCTGCTTTCTGTCTATATCTGTATTTCATTCCACTTTATCTCTATATAACATGCTCCTTGCTAATTATTTCTCCCTCACTTAATAACAGCTAGTTTCTAATCACTGTTGCTTCTTGCCGCAGAAAGCTTGATGTGTCTAACACTAACCTTTGCCTTCCTCTCTTTTCTTTTGCTCACCTCTATGCGTGCAGTGGATATATGGTCGGTGGGGTGCATTATGGGAGAAATGGTGCGCCACAAAATCCTCTTCCCTGGCCGGGACTGTATCCTTGTTAACCCACATCAACATTATGTGATGGTAACACTGTTTTTGTTTATAGGTTTATGTCTGGTGCATATAACAAAGAATGGATTTAAAAATCAATCATTCTTTGTTTTAAATGCCACCATTCATGTTGGGTTTCAAGTGTCTCACTGAAGATGGATTTAACTGACTTTTGAAACTTCAAATCAAGTGTTTGGAGAGTTTGGAATTAATGAAATAGTAGCTACAGGTGTGTTGTCCCTTAGTCCTTTAAATGTTATATTTCTTAGTTACATATACTTTGAAGATCATTCTGTACCTGGCCTGATGTTCTCTGTATGTTACTGGGGTGAACTAAACCACACTCACTGGCTGTCTTTATAACACATGTCCGTATCAATTCCAACTGGTCTTCTTTTAACAATTTAACCTGCAATAACATCATAAGATACGCATCATAAATTATTCTTCTTAAGTCAGTAAGTCTAAATCTCAAGCTTTATTCAGCCTCAACATTTGGCAAAACAAAGCTCTCTCTCTCCATATCTCTGAATGTGTGTGTTATTATTTAGAGTGTTTTTGGAGTGCTACCTCGTGTGTTCTCCTGCATCCCCAAGATGACTTATTTCAGTAGGATGGATTTGGATAAATAGTCCCCATGCTGATTTTGTGCACATGTGTCCACACGTGAAGTACATCTTGCCATCTGAGGGTGCCCACATATGTGAGTCAGACATAGTTGTTAAGCATTCAGTGAATAATAATGAAGGATTAATTTATTCATTTTGAGCAGCTGTTAATAGCAGCTTAGTTAAACTCACTTGGTTACGCCAGGAGAGCTCAAAGGTTAAGGATTAGAAATGAGACAGCTGCCATGATGGGGAAGTAATAAAACTTGGATGATGCAAGGTAGAAATTATTTATATGTAAAAGGATAAGTCTTTGGGGTATTCTAGATTTTTCTTATTATTAAAATAATACAATGAAATGACCAAAACCAACAGTGAATTGATCCTGCTATGTTCAATTGTATGTGTAGCCAAGACTGATAAAGAATAGAATATTTTGTGTCTACCTTTTGGCATGCAAAAGGCAGAAGTTTGTCTTTGCTTGCATGCGCAAAGGTCTGTGACATTAAAACACAACTTATCACATCCAGACAGGACGCATTAAAACACGTTTACACAAAAAGACAAAGCTATATTAAAAGGAACGCCAAGTACTCAATGGTGAGGACTGAGTCAGGGTTAAGAAATAGAAAGAAAAGGAAAAAGGTTGAAGGCTGGCTTCAAAAAGGGACTGAAGAACTTTTATGGCAACTGTGACAAATTGCTTTTAACACTTGGAGGGATTGGTGTACTCTGTTTAAAGTGAATTGTATATAGCTAATTCTCAGTGCCTTAGACCTCGCTGTTGTCCAAAAAAATATTAAAAACACATAAATGAGTCATACCATTGCACTGGGAGATACTTTCCTTCCTTATGATGAGCATGGATACTGTATAGTTAATCCCTTACCATCCTGCTCCCAGCTGGAAATAGTCCCCAACAAATGCACTATTCACTCCTCTTTGAATAACACAACAGTGTCCAGCTGGTTTAGGAAATGATTTTTTAAGTTTAGTACTTGTGACACCTTTTTTTGAAAACGGACACGTTCAGTAGGAACAAGTGGGCTTAAAGCCACAGACAGGGTCAAAACACATTGGCAGATGGACTAATGTATTGTTAGTTTTGGTCTTTCCATGGGTTTTGTTGACAATCAAACATATAAAATATCACCAAACTCATCCTTTAAAATTATGATTTTTCTGTGGGTTGTTTAGAGGCAGATAAGCAGTGACAACACAAGACCAGTGTGTCTGCAGGTGCTTGTGTATTGTACTCTGGTCTCTACATCCCTGATCATGCAGTCCCTGAAAGATTAATGCTCTGGAGAACTAGAAAACCCCCGCAATGAGCTCTGCAATATCTCCCTCCTTTGTCTCCGCTCTCACAACGACACTGAAATTCTTATCATGTGACACTCCATCCTTTCTAACTGTAGCTCAGTGGACAGTAGTCATGCATACTTTTGTTAATCTTCTGCTTATAGATTAGCTCTGGAGTGGTACCCTGCTGTTGCTAATCTTAATTTACTTAGATATAGATTTTTCAACCTGAAGTATTGACCAGGCTGACATTATTTGCACCTTCCTGAGTGTCTGTCAGATGATGATATAGGATAGCAGTCTGTCTGCACAGGTCACAGCACAGTGAGCCTCAGGGTGACTAGGTGTTTGATTACCATTTAGTACAGTCAAATGCATATAGTCATGTTGCAGAAGTAGCACACATTTGATGCTCAAAAGCAGGCTAACTTATACAGCACAATCATCTCTGTTGTTACGAGGATATGGGTGAAATAAAAAATTAGACCTGTAATGTTAACAGAAATGTAAACAGTTTTTGCAAGCTGACAACCAAACACACTCCTCCTACTAATACACTGCTGTGCTTGCTACGATGCTAGCTACCCACACAGTAATGGTTAAGTAATGAGCAGGGATGATGAGATGTTGGGTCCCCACAGAGATGCATCACTTCCTTTTCTACCACAAAGGTATAAAAGCAAATATGTAAATATAAAATACAGTCACTATTTTCACTTTAGTCTAACTCTGTGTAAAAAACCATCATCATCATCAATCAAAAGAAATCAGCTACAGGAAGAGCCTCACAAAAAGTGATTGTTCAGGTAGTGGGCAGATATAACATCAGTGTTTTATAAAGTTTGTAACTAGATAACATTAGCATTTTAATAATGTATTGCTAACATTACTCAGCTAATGTGTTTGTCACTGAAGTAGAGAAGGGAAATATGTTTTTTGATTTCGATATTTTGTGTTTAGAGGGCAATTTGAGTTCACACAAGAGACAACACTGTTGGTAATTTAATAATAATAATAATAATAATAATAACAAAGAAACATGAAAAACAAACCTCATGTACAGGGACCATAAAGGAAGTGACACTTCTCATGTATTGCGACCCTGCTCTCTTCCCATTGATGGGATAAACTCATGTAACCTCCCCAAGTTCAAGATGACTGAATATTTTAACGTTTTTCAGCCAAAGATAAGCAACGTTTTTTGACACATATTTAGCATGTGATAAACCACGATAAATCAGGGATACATCAGATTAGAACTTGGAAGATATATTTATATTCTCTTATCTGTAAGTCATTTAGGGGGTGGTTCAGTGATTTTTGATAGATGTTGGTAATCCAAGTGTGTGTGTACCTGTGTGTGT